ATCGTCGACAGCGCGTTACTACTCTTGGTGCAACGTCTTCTGAATAACCAGTGTCTTCGGGAGTACCTCAAGGCAGTATATTAGGCCCCATCCCGTTCCTCCTCTATGTAAATGACCTACCTGATGTTGTCAAGAACTCAAGTGTTGCCTGCTTTGCTGACGACACCAAGATCTTTCGTCGCGTGGATTCTATCTGTGATGCTGATTTACTCCAAACTGATCTGAGTAACCTAGGCAGTTGGTCTACCTCCAGTGGTCTCGTCTTCAATCAATTCAAGTGTAAATGTCTGCGTGTGACGAGGAAAACCCAGCCCGTTATTTATCCGTACATGATCTGAAGGACAACGAACTTGCAACAACATCAGCCGAAAAGGACCTGGGAATTTGGGTTTCTAGTGACCTTACGTGGACCAAGCACGTTCTGGAACGTTGTGCAAAATAAAAAAACTGTTAGGTTTCGTGAGGAGAAGTGGGAAGAGAAATAACAAACACAAGGACTCGTCGCACACTTTATCTGTCAGTGGTTCGCCCTGTTCTTGCCCATGCAAGTCAGATATGGTCGCCCCAGTCCATAGGTCTCATCAAACGAACAGAACGTATCCAGAGAAGAGCTTCCAAGTTCATACTGAATCTTCCCTTCATGTGTAGTGAGTCTTACCGTGATAGGTTGATCACTTTAGAACTGATGCCGTTATCGTACTGGCATGAGTACATGGATCTTGTGTTCTTCTATAAAGCTATAAATGGGCTGGTTGTCATAACTGAAGATGTTCTCCCTAAACTGATAATCCCCACGAGAGTAACTAGATCTTCCAGTTACGTGCCAGTGAGTTATCCTTCCGCCCCCCAAAATGCAGGACCAGGACTTTCCAGCGATCGTATATTACCCGCGTCACGAGAGTATGGAATTGCCTTCCAACAGACTTAAGACAACCAAATTTAAGTTTAAGTACATTTAAAAGTTTATTACGACAATATTATTCAAAAGCCCTAGCTGCTCAGTTGCTTTGATGCAGAGGACCCAAGAACATGGAGATCTATATGTTTAAATTGTAACTCTTGTCGAAGTTTGACCAATGCTATCAACTGTCGTTTTTAGATATCATAAGTTTGACCTATTTCGACCACCTTTTATCCCAAACATTTAGTTTTTACCAAACTTTTCCGAGTTTTACTTTCAATTTTAAGCAAACATCAATTTCATTTTGACCAACTTTGGGCAAATATCAGTTCAATTTTGACCAACTTTGACCGTTTCAATTAATGGGGG